CCTATAGTCGTGCTTGGGATTGCGCCGACCATTTCTTTAAAATAGTTTCTATCAATTTGTGCAAGAGATGTCACCCAATTTTGGGTGAAACTGGCCAACAGGTTCCAAAGTTACAAGACAGAAGTCATACAGACACACTGGCATAACGCAAGCCCGATTTCTTTAGAAAACCAGTCCAGAAGAATTACGTAAAAATACGAACTGCCACCTATAACAACAGTGTTACATGTGTGCACGTACACACACACATATATATGTAAGTATGTATTAAGCCTGATTTTAATTCTCCAGGTTTATATCCACTATCTTAAATCACTGTAGTCTGTATAAATTAAAAGTTGATGACTTCTATGCATACGCAAAAAAAAGATATACTTGATACATTCATTGTAAAAGATACTCCCATAAGAAAATGAAAAATACACAAAACAAAGTATAAAAACATGTCCAGTACAGTATTCCTTCATACTTATACTCTAATCATGGTGGCTCTCTACAACTAACTTCATACTCTCTTGCCCTGATAAATGCAATCTCGCCCAACTTCAATTTGAACAAAATACTACCATAAAGATACTTTTTTCTGGTTCATTACTTTGACTATGTCACCCTTCTGCACCCCTCCAGTGTCTCCCTTGTACCTTCACCATCAATCATGAACTACATATCTTCACCTGCAAGATCTTTCAAATACAAAACTATACCATATACGTCAACTTTCATTTGCTATCAAAATGTCGGCCTTGGCCACCTCTTTGCCAGGGTTAGCCTTAGTTGTCCATTTGTCAAATCTCCCAAATAAAATCCTCTGTTCTTCAACTGATACCAGCATTTTTGCATGAAACATGCAAAACTTTACGTATTTTCCTCTTTTAAATCCTCTCTTAAAACAACAGACGTTGGTTAGAGCACTGATGAATTGTAACCAGCATTTATGCTACTAGTTATAATATAGTCATTATTGCCACACACTTCCACAGACCATTTTTAAAAAATCTATGTGCTCTACAAAGATGGGACTATGTAATACTACGGGAAACTTCCAGCCACTGTAATGTTTTCACAACAAATATGTTTATTAACCTATTTTCCAAGCAAATTACTGTTTCTTTTAACATTGAAAATAAGCAGGTCAACAACATGGTTTGCTATCTTAAACTCTTGTGATAATTTACCTGAGTTGCAGCAACAACAGTAGTTATAGAAGGCGCAGTTGAAGGTGATAGAGCTCCCACTTGCTGCAAGTGGCCTGAAGCCTGCTGAGGTAAATGAGAACTGGAAACGGGAGTGCTAGATCCTGAGCCAGATACTGCATTTGGAAATGATACTGCTACATCATTGCTGCTAAAAATACCTGAAAAAAATTACAAAAACGATTACATGCATCTCTCTCTCTCGCCCTCCCTCTGTTTTCTAGTAACCATGTAAATATGCAGTAGCAAATTAATCAAGACAATCAAGATCACTTAATACATAATGCAGAAAGTTCCTGTGTTGAAATTCTAACCGCGCTGATTGATAAAAGTACTCTCGGCATTTGACATTCTACAGTTCAGGGAACACAGATTGATTCAGTTCTAAGTTTTTGTAAAACATGTGAGATAAATCAAATATTTATGTGCATTACAAACTGCTCAAATATTAACAGAAGCAGAATTTTTGGCTAAAATGCCTGCCTTCAACTGAGTCTGCTATCAGAGTTTGTCCTTTCAATGAATTACAGTAAAAGTAAATAAAGAATGAAGTATTGGGCTATATTACTGAACATATACAATACAAATGGAAAAATACTTTTTAACTTTAAAGTAAAATGTTTCTGAACAACACACATCTGTCCAAAACTGTAATTTTGGCAACTAAAGATTGCTTGTGTATTTTCAGAAAAATATGGACAGCAAGTCTGAGGACAAAGTACTCAGATTTGCTGGTAGAACTGGTGGCATTTCTTTTATTCACAAACTAAAACTCCATCCGTGATCTACGAATGGTTGACTAACATTTCTGCCAAAACAGCCAACAAGTAAATGACTAAACATGCTAACATTAGTCAGACTTGTACGTTAGCAGTTTAAATAGGAAGAGTTCATACCCCTCTGTGAAGCCATTACTTCTGTTCATCTACATGCAGGGTAAAGTTCATTATATAGGTTGGGAAAAAACCCTACTGACCAGAAGCCCAGGACAAGAAGTAGTACCTGTCTATGAAACTGTTAGGCTCCACGTGCATTAGATAAGTGAGCTGTCAGCTGGCCAAGGAATATCAAGCATGGTAGCACTGAACTGCAGTTAGAGGAAGAGTGCCACAGGGAGTAAACAGAAGTAGAATGAACATGGTTAGATCAAAAAAAGCAACAGAACTGAAATGCCAGTTAGAAGGCAAAGGGTGGAGCTAGTTTGTCACTCATACAAATAATGATTTGAAGAAGACAGTGACAATAAGAAGATAGGCAATGTTAAAACACCACTCGCCACCCAGCAATCCCTCTGAGCACAGGCAGTCAAGGGAGACTAACATCATCCAAACCCACACACCATATGCAAACACCGATGCATCTTAAATTCCCTGCCTCTATTAACTGTCAAGAAAAATGGAAGAGAAAACCAGCCAGGCCCAGTAGAGAAAAAAGACAGGAATAAAACAGCTGAAGACACATTCTGACAACACTTTTTTCCCACCTAACCGAGGTTAGTGACTTATCGTCTTCTCCCCAATCTCTTCATCATAGCGCAATTCCATACCTGCTCTGCTGTTCTACTGACCTTCGTATCTTTTTCCATTTAGCACACCTTCCTGGGTCATCTTCCCCTCCTTGTTTTTTGGTCACCATCCCAAAAATCTACAGTTATGGCATCACTAACAGTTAAGATACTTAAAGTGTTCACTTTGTTATGACTTTACTCCACTTACATCTTCCTTATCTAACCAGACAGTAAATTCTATGGATCCTGCTCTAGATTTGTCCCTGCACACCACCATAATGAACATGACTAAAAAACAGCCTTGCTACTGAGTCTACTCTTAAATGTTATATAATTACAACCACAAAACCTTAAATATACTCCAAGTCCTCAAAAGATTTTTTTTTAAAATCTGCTTTCAATCAGAGATGTTAAATTAATAAAAAGGATGAGATTTTTGACCCTTTGTATTTTGAATGCATTGAAACAACCAAACGTACAAAAATTCCTGGAAAAGGCGAGAGTCTCATGCAATTATCTGGTTCCAGGAACCATTAATTTTAAGAGTAAAAACACCAAAATGTCACAACTCTTATGATCAAATCATAAGAGCTCGTCACCACAAATGCTATCACTCTTGTAAAACGTCAATGACAATGAGCGGAGAAAACATCATTTTTGAGAGTGTCAAACAGTAAAAAAGAAAGGTATTTTGCAAGAAAGGTAAAATAACTCCAAAATTTGAAAGCTGTTGAAGACTCTTTCTTAATTTTTCAAAATCTTATGTATTTAATAACTGTAGAAATGCTGCTATTTCTATTTTAATGATGAGGTTTATTCTTCCTCTTAAAAATAAAATTCTGGAATACAAGTAGATAGCAAAAAACTATTTCAAAAGAAAGACAAGCAGTAAACTAGTTTGCCAGTGCAATGAGGTAAGCTATTATTTGTTGCTAGAAGTAGTAGTTGTAGTAGTAGTATTAAAAACACTATTTGTTGCTGCTAAAAAATACAGGACAAATATGACCTAGCTGCACACTGTTTGGGCTATGTATTTCCATTTAGCAATACTTAATACATAAAGTACATGCACCTACTGGAAGTAGTCATGCAACCAAGATACTACTCCATGAAAGCATTCACGTAAGAACTGTATGCTGAACATATAAATACTTGATTTTCAGACCATTTCAAAAATACTTGTATAAAAACTATGTGCATATCATATTAGAAAGCCAAGAAAGTACATACTTAAAATTTCTCAAACATATCAAGTTGTCCTTTTGGGGTTCTGGGAGAGATAAATCACTTTCTGGATTAGGAAGGAATAATAACAAAAGCCTGAACAAATCATTATAAACAACATTAATGTTTAAAACAAACAAACCACCTTCAAGTCCTTCCCATATGTCCTGGTTTTTGGCTGGGATAGAGTTAATTTTCACAAAAAGCTAGGAGGGAACACAGCCAGGATAGCTGACCTAAACTAGTCAAAGGGGTATTCCACACCATATGACATTACGCTCAGTATGTAAAAGGGCGTATTGAGATATTGGCAGCATATGAAGGCGTCCGAGCTGCTTCGGAAGTGACTGGTACTGAAGCACCCTGACTGCCGGTGCTGGGCTGGATGTTCAAAGAGAGGGTCCCCTCCACACATCATGCAACTGATGCTATGTGGAGTAAGTGGGTCACACTGATCACACAGCGGGCTTGAATAGGAAACCCTAGTTGCCCAGGAATTCTGGAAGTGATCACGGACTGGCCAGAAGGCAAAGATTTCACAATATCACAAGAGGAGGAGGTGACATGTGCTGAAGAGGCCCCACTGTATAATAAACTTTCAGAAAATAAGAAGCAATGTGTCCTGTTCACTAATGGGTCCTGTCACGTTGTGGGAAAACATTGAAGGTAGAAGGCTGCTATATGGAGTTCTACATGATGAGTTGCAGAAGCTGCTGAAGGACAAGGTGAATTGAGTTAGTTTACAGCAGTGAAAGCCACTCAGCTGGCTTTAGATATTGCTGAACAAGAAAAGTGGTTGGTGCTCTACCTCTATACTGACTCATGGATGGCAGCCAATGCTCTGTGGGGGTGGTTACAGCAATAGAAGCAGAGCAACTGGCAGCGCAGAGGCAAACTCATCTGGGCTTCCCCATTGTGGCAAGATACTACTGCCCAGCTAGAGAAGCTGGTTGTAAAAGTACGTCACGTAGATGCCCATGTACCCAAGAGTCAGGCCACTGAAGAACATCAGAATGACCAGCAGGTGGATCAGGTTGCTCAGATTGAAGTGGCTCAGGTGGACTTGGACTGGCAACGTAAGGGTGAATTATTTATAGCTCGGTGGGCCCATGACACCTCAGGCCATCAAGGAAGAGATGCAACATACAGATGGGCTCATGATCAAGGGATGGACTTGACCATGGACACTATTGCACAGGTTATCCATGAACATGAAACATGCACTGCAATAAAGAAAGCCAAGTGGTTAAAGCCTCTCTGGTATGGAGGATGATGGCTGAAATATAAATATGGGGAGGCTTGGCAGATTGATTATATCACACTCCCACAAATTTGCCAAGGCAAGCGACAAGTGCTTACAGTGGTGGAAGCAACCACAGGATGACTGGAAACATATCCCGTGTCCCATGCCACTGCCTGGAACACTATCCTGGGCCTTGAAAATTAAGTCCTGTGGTGACATGGCACCTCAGAAAGAACTGAGTCAAACATCAGGACTTATTTCCAAAACAACCTCACAGATCCCTGGGCCAAAGAGCATGGCATTGAGTGGGCGTATCACATCCCCTGTCATGCACCAGCCTCCAGGAAAATCAAACAATACAATGGACTGCGAAAGACTACACTAAGACCAATGGGTGGTGGGACTTTCAAACATTGGGATACACATTTAGCAAAGGCCACCTGGTTAAGTCAACACTAGGGGATCTACCAGTCAAGCTGGTCCTGCCCAGTCAGAATTTTTGCATACTACAGAAGGGGATAAAGTCCCCATATTGCACATGAAGAACATGATAGGGAAAACAGTCTGGGTTACTCCTGCCTCAGGCAAAGGCAAACCCATCCGTGGGATTGCTTTTGCTCAAGGACCTGGGTGCACTTGGTGGGTAATGCAGAAGGATGGGACAGTCCGATATGTACCTCAAGGGGATTTGATTTTGGGTGAAAACAGCCAATAAATTAAATTGTATGATGTTAATTGCTAAATAACCCTGCCATTGTATGTCATCACTACTACAACTGCTATATGCTGTATCTATGATACTACAGTAAGAATCACCCAAATTAATGAAGGATGAACTTTGATGAAACTGAGCAAAGTGCAGCAATGATGGAACTAAAACTGACTTCAGCAACTGGCACCTAGCAACTTCCTTGAAAATCAGTTATCTTCATCCTGCAAACCACAAGCATGGGCCGTGCCAGATACACCAGTCGCGAGCTCCAGATGTGCAACAATCCAACAGCACACACCATCGCTCCTGCCCTGAAAGACTGTTATGACAGATGGAGCCCAAAGTCATGGACTAAATGAACTCAAAAGACATTTTAGAGAGATGGCCAATAGACTAAGGGAATAACATCTCTGTGTGTGGATACGTACATCAAAGACTGGAAGAGTGGTGGTGATTAATTGCTAGGATCTGGGCA